AGCATATGCATACTGAGAGTTTGAAGGATATTATGTTTTATGTATATTTTGTAGATCTACTCATTGCTGAATCCTTGGAAATTCTGAACAGCAGTGATAAGCTTTGTAGAGAACGTTTCGAAGTCTTTGTAAGGAGGAATATCCAACCGATTGAAGCTGCAAAGTGTATGAGTAGATGAGCACCCGCGATAGTAACTCATTCTACGCCTTTTAAGATTGAATGGTCAAAGGTTGATACGAGGCAAAGAATCATCTCGCAAAAAAACACAAAAAAATAAACACTGTTTCGTCACATGCCTATCTGCTGACTCATGCAGATATATTTGTGGACGAAAACGAACACAACGCTCATGGATGTAGCGATTTTCAGCAAAACCAGACGAAAGACGACTACATACCATGTATGACTTGTGGGTAGCTTCGCCACATCACCGGTCTTTTGAATACAGAAACGCCTGGGACCGTCAGTACCTATCAATGCTTGGAAACCTTCCGTCGGTATTCGTTGAGTCCCAGTTACAAATTGAAGAATTCGAAGGCGAAGATCCCGATTGCTCTGAAATTAGCCAGAACGAGAGATAATTTCAAGTAAAATAGGCGCCCTTCATCACCGATTCAAACAAACAACAAGACTATCGGTAATAAAACCCATGCATAAGATGACCACGAGTTATGCAGTAATCACACTCAAGGACGTCAAATGCTGAAATGATAGCTGGATGGTATATGTATGCATATGCACTGCATACCTCTTCCAGTAGTTTCCAAAACCACTGTACTATATTGTCGTTTTCATCAGTGTCTGTGTATGTAGTATGAGCCTTCCAGTCGTCTAAGTCTATATTGATCTCTCCGGATATCAACATCTGTGGATGGAGATTAACAGACGTGCTAATCAGAAATCCGAACTAATGTGGAACTTACAGAAACACCAATACACGAGTTTTTTCAATTGCGCTTTGTCAAGTTGAACACCACAGCGATGTAACCGAGTTTGAATCCCAGCCAAAGCAATCACTAGCAATTAACCCATCACTGATTAACGAGTTAAAAGTACCGAACCGTAACAAATTACATCGACATACCTCCAAATCGTGCGCATTGAAGTCTGCCAACGCATCTGCGGGAACAAATTCAGAGAATCCGTCCTTCAAAGCCTTTAGTTGCTGATGCGTTCCTCTATTGATTCTCCATTCCATAAAGAGATTCACGTACTGCAAATGAAGATAATAATAAAAATGCTGAGCACTACTAAGTGCAATGTTTCAAAGACGAAAGATTCAACAGCGACTGAGTCATAACACAAGACAAATAATAAAGAGCACCTCACAAGATTCTTGACAGCAGTATACGCACTGACCTCTTCCTTATTCTCATTTGTGACGTCGATCTCCGATCCCCCTTCCTTGAGATCGACCGAGACAACCTCACCCTCCACCATAGCATCCACGCAGAAGTTCAGCTCTAACACATCCTCGATATCGTTCTGCAAAATCCATAGCAGACTCTTGTATAGGGCTTCATCCACTCCCTCGAGGTCGGACAGCGTAGACCGCTGGTTGAGCAAACTCTTGTAGAATGTCTTCACAAACACAGCATCCAGAAAGTGGTGATGGAATACGCCTAGGCCTATCACGCGACCAATGAAATTGTAGTATTTTAACAGCTCTGGCGCATTCATAGCTTTGGCAGCACTTGCGCGCTTTAGTGATTCACGAGCCTGGGATTCGGAGGAGGGCGAATCGGAGTTTGTGCCAGTGTTTGTCTTATCATTCGGAGTTTCACTTGCTTCGTCTTGTTCACTTGCGGTTCGGTCCTTGTCCTCTACATTTGAAGCAGCGTTTCGAGCTGACTTCGTGCCCTCATCTAGAAATTGTAATGTGAAATATTTTATAGTGTGGTGAGCACTTTAAAAAATAGAACCAAACACTATATTAAAAATGAACTTTGAAATTAAAGGTACTATAATATTACACAAATGAAGTCGATGACATACCCACTTGGACCAATTTGCTACTTGAAATTTGTAACAGATATGTTTGATCGTCGCTGAACTCGAAGAATCCGCGCCTAGTGCTGAACAACTCATGTGACAGCAAAAAGAGCCATTCCCTACATTGTGTGTGCGTGGGGTGAGGAAAGCCAATCAAGAACGAAAGTGTTGAGTTAGAGATGGTGTATGATAATTAAGCTGAACCATGACAAATTCAGCAAGAGAACATTGTAGAACGAGTATTAATTAGAGTTATGCTTATATCGCTAGAACGACAATTCGGAAAGTTGCATCATTAACGAATAATATGCACCTAAAAAAAGTATACCTAGCCAAGCCTCCATAATCCACACCACCTTCGCCGTGAAAATGCACAAACATCTTCTTCTTCAATTCTCTGGCAGAACGGTGCATCACCTCCGCATACGAACTTGCAAACAGCTGAGTTCGATACACGGTCAGATGGCATTCGCCTTTCACCTATAAATGTTATAAAAAAATCCTATTGAGCAAAATGGTTTCAACGTATGCCAATTAAAGAAATTTTGAGACCCCACTTAAACAAGTAGACATCTTCGATTTTTCACCTGCGGTAGCTTGTTTGCTAAGGCCTTCCGCTTGTTGTACAAGTCGCGCTTCAGCTGCGACAGTTCAGTAGTATCGACAACAACACCTTGAGACTCCTCGAGTGATTTGGCCATAGCCAAGGCGATACCTGCAGGCGATCAATACGGATTTAGCACGTTATGGGTCTCTGCTCTAGTATGCTGGGCATCGATATATTGAAAATACTCGCTTATAAACTACCAAAAATGCTTGTATAAATTACCACTAGCGCTAGATAGGCTTCCTCACGCTTAAACACATACATCCCCGACCATGACTACCACGACTGAATTTGAGGACACTTGCAGCACAACACTTCCACGCTCTGTACACAAACCGTACCTGCGTGATGATCCTCGTTCAGCGCAGCACCCAGCATAGCCGCCGCAATAGCATCGGCATCCTGCATACCCGTGCCATGCGAGAATTGACACTTAGCACCGTGGCGACAGAAGCCAGACATGTAGAACGGACAATGTGGGCGATCGTCTACTACTTCGGGGGTGTTTACTACTGGCGCTGGTGGCGGGGTCGGCGGCTTGGGTCTACGCACCTCGACCGGGTCGGACCAGCCACTCGGTTTACTTTGCCCGTAGTCATTGGAAGCCTGACGATGTCGAGAAGAATGAAAGTTATAGGCATTGAAGTTTTGACAGACGGCAACAACGTCTACCCAAACTTGACAAGTATTGTGGATTTGGTATTGAAACGATTACCGAGCACAATTGAGCATGTGAACGGCCGTATAACGTCTCGTACAGAAGTCAGTACTCGGAGCTTAACACACATAGCATGCACCTTACCTTCAGCCTAAAACGGTAGTACCAGCCAGTTTTCAGGGCAACTGCTGTATGGACTAAGTTAGGGCCCACATACTCCAGCTGATCCGCATCATCGATCGTATCCGAATTATCACTTCGTTTCTCCGTCCCTCCATCTGTGTATAACTTGTAGACAACTGTGTTGGCGTTGTTGACCTCACCCTTGCCCTTGTCGCTCTGACCCCCTACACCGCTCCACTCGACTATAAGGGAGTGGTCGGTGTCCATAGAGACCTTCGGTGTGTCTGGTGTGGCTGGTACGATGGCACTCACAGTTTTCTCTGACGAATCTAGTGATGAAGAAGTGACAGGCATCGTAAGTACACAACCATTACACAACTGTACACGCCCTGAACCGATCGAGTCAATCACATTGCGGTATCGATATCAAGTGTACATGCTTAGTTACGAGCAAATGTTTCTCACCTGACTCGGGTAGCAAAGGCAGATCTAGCTTCACTTGCACACTTAACCGCCGTGATTCTTTACCATAACTCCTAAGCTGCGCATTCGGTTTGTAATCAGGTTGTTCGTTTCTGTATGGCAAAGTAGCGTGATAGTCGAACTCAATACATATACGAAAGAAATGTCAATAGCAAATAATACGGTTTCAATGCAATATATCCCCACAATTGGTCGGAGGATGGACATTCGCACATTTGAAGACCCGCCCGACCTTTGTGCAGAGTGAAAAACCTTAAAATACATACCCAAAAGTGTTGTTTTCGACTCCTGAGTGATAATCTTGCATTTCCTCTGCAGTATACTCGTTGTCGTCGGGATTGAATGTACTGTTCATTATCAAGCCAATAAAATATAAATTATAATCCAAGTTTATAAAAACAGCGCTCTTGAACTAAAACAATTCCATAATAGAAGGGCAAGAGAAAAAATAGTGTACATGTCGCGCCTTTCTAGAAATCAGGGCATCTGGCAGCAAAATGCAGCAGCGCCTGATCAAATCTGGCTCTTAATATCGCAACAAACACAAAATACAATGCACGTGCTTACTACACATACGGGTGAGTGGTTCGACGAGTCCTCTCAGCATTTAAACTGCGGAGATACTGCGCGGCTATCGGCGCATCTCTCTTCTTATTGGCATACTTACAGCTCATCACAAACAATCCTGTGACAGTATCGTGTTTTGTCCTTTTCAACAACCGATACGGAATCGTGACTCCAGCGCTCAAATCATTGCTGATCAAACTGGACACCGGTACCACAACAAGACCCAGGAACCCGCCGGCACCATCCGCACTCTTGAATCGTTTGTTATCATACACGGAGACGGTGAGAGAACTACCGAGTTTGACCTTCACGGTGTGTTTTGACGACCACTCAGGATTGAAAGTCTTTTTCGCCACAGGCGACCGGTATTTATTTCCATCCACCGACAATATCGCAAATGGGTCAGGGAGGTGCAACATATATTTCTTAGCTGTAAGGAGCGAACAAACAATCATATAGATTTAAAATTACAGTAAAAGGAATATGGGAAATAAATTTCATATACAACGACATAACTCGGAACAGAGTTCTGTTTTCGTCCGCCGATGAAGGGTTTCTACACAGGCACAGACACGGACAGGCCCCACACACAAAAGTCACAGACACAGACACAGACACATTCAATATACACATATGTAAAACATAATATATGTATATAACATAGTACTATAATAATATAATAAAATGATAATATAATAATATTCTAGTATATATACATACATACCTACATACCTACATACCTACATACATACACACACACACACACACA